CTTGAAAGAGTCGTCACTTTTGGAACTGTACTACTCGTTTGAATTTGCTCCGTAGTGGAATCGAAATACTTAGTGGTACTACCACTCTCGAGTGGAGCAAATGTACTCTGATCGGTTGTGTATGCCTTTTCACTTGTCAACATAGTCGTGTACCGATCAGTGGGCTGAATGGTAGACGGTACATTTTCTCTACTCGAAAGAGTTGTCGCCTTTGTAGGTAAACTACTCGATTTGAATTGCTCGGTTGTGGAATCGAAATATTTAACTGTTTTTTCATTGGGATACTCAGTCGTTTGGCTCTTCCCTATTGAAATCTTTCGTTCCGAAGAAAATTGTCTTTCTGTTGCCATTACGGTTGTCTCATGACCAATGAATTCAGTGGTTGAAGGTATTTTTCCTTCACTTGAGATAGTCGTGAACTTTGGAATGTTAGTACTTGTTTGGAACTGATAATGCTTAGTCGTTTCACCGTGTTCCGGAGAAATTGAACTAAATTCAGTGACAACTTCATTATCTTTCGTCACAGAAGTAACCCCTGACTCAGTCGTAGTGGAAACTTTCGCTTCACTTGAAATGGTAGTGACCTTTGGAGCAATGCTACTTGTTTCAGTTATACTTTCAGGATATTTAGTAGTTGTTTCAATTTCTTTTGGAATAAAAGTACTTCGTTCGGTTATGAACGCATTGTCTGTGGTCGACATTGTGATTTCATGACCAAGAGTTGATTGAGTAACTTTTTCTTCACTCAAAGTCGTCGTTTGTTGTGGAACTATAGTACTTGATTTGAAATATTCGCTAGTTGTGTCAAACATTTTGGTTGTAGTACCACCATCACTTGGAGTTACTGAACTTTGGTCTGTGGTAAATCCCCTTTGGGTCGGCAATAAAGTCGTTTTACCTTCAACAGACTGTGTGGTAGAAAGAACTTTTTCATCATCAATTTTAGTGGTTACTTCTGAAGCAAACGTGGTAGTTTTAAATTGTTCAGTAGTAGTGTCAACATATTTGGTAGTCTGATCGATTTTCGAATGAATTCGATCTGTGGGCTTTTGTGTATAATTTTGTGTAGTAATAATCGATTGAGTCGTGGAAGAAATGGGCTTTTCGGTTTTGATAGTAAAATTGTTTCGAGCGAATTCCATTTCAGTGAGTTCTTTTCGATCGTATCGAGTTGATTTAGTATCGTTTGCAATGGTCGTTGTTTCAGTTACTTGCGATTCGGTCGTTGTGATAGTTTCTTTTGTTCGAGTGTCAGTATGTGCCAGAATACCAGTCATTGAAGTTCGACCTTCAACATCTGGATAATCGGTCACTTTTTGGCTAAACAAATTCGTCATTGTCGTCGTCGTCAAATCATCTTGTATTGTACTACTTGTACGATCATTTGGTAAATCGGTCGTTTTAAAACTTCTAAAATCCAAATCAATCGGTTTTGATTCATGCATAGGTTCAATGGGAAAGCATTTTTCGAACGCATCGCCAGTGTAATTTGTCGGACATTGGCAAATAATAAGATGCATTTTAATGATGCATTGGGCACTTTCACCACAAATTCCAGATTGACACGCGTCTACACATTGGTTCTTGACACATTGCAAATTCTCTTTGCAATCCTGATGCTTTGTACAATTGTCGATCTGCGCATTACCGACGTCTGCTGCTATATTCATTATTTTATACGTTAATTAAATTATTAATTTTGTTTGTTGGTTTCGTGATATTATATTTACATTTGTATATACAATAAAATATCGCTATTAAATTTGTGAATTAAAAAAAAAAAAAACAGAGAAGATTTGTATATAGTGCATAAGGAGTTGAGTGAGAGAAGAAACTTTTATTTATTTTTTTAAATCAGTGAAGGCATTTACATGTGTTTTTTAGAAAGTGTAAAGAAGAGATCATTTCACTATTTCCTATTAATGTACAGTAGAATATCATTCGCGTTTCTAATTGAAGCGAGCTTCTTGTGCTAATAAAGGATTTGCCTCTAAAAAATAATGTGCAAAATTTCTGACCCTAAACAATTTTTATTTTATCAAGGCATCAATACATTTCGGCGACAAAACAGAAGAGCATACAATTTTTTTTAGATCAAAACAAAATTAATATTGTTGAGAGAGAGAGAATAAAATTAAACGGGCTGAATGTTAGAGATTGGTTAGAACATGCCGTAGTTTGAGATTAGATTGAATTAAGCTTGTTTTGAATAAGTAATAATAAGTGAGTGAGATTAGGAAATTAGAAAAACAAATAAAAAAAGTAAAAAAATCTTTGGTGAGCTCGAGCGTGTGTGAATGTTTTCTTGTGGTTTTAATATTGTTTTGTTTGGTTTTTAAGGGGAGAATCGGTTGGTTATTACTATGAGAGGTCATCGTGAGATGTGTAATATTGTTGTTTTGTCGATGATTAAACGTGTTTAGTGCATGTTTCTTTTTATTGGTAGTATAAATACCGATCAAGATACAGTCAGAACAGGACTTGTAATTAGCCGTAGTTTTTTTTTTATTTTTGTTTATTGGATTTTAGGCAGTGTCTTTTTTGAGGCATTTGGCCACCTAAATGTGTTATATTCCTGTTGGATGGCGTTGACAAAATAGAGAAGCTAGAATCTAAGAAACTGTTCGAAAGAGTGTAGTATAAAAAGAAGGCACAGAGAAAAGAAAGTGAGAAAAAAAATAGAAGAGAGAAAGTGAAAAAGAGAGAGTTTCACAATAGCCCAACAAATATTGAAATGAAAAAAAAAAAAAAAAACGGAGGCCGTAAGAGTGATGTAAAAAAAAGACTGTGTCAAAAGATTGGGAAAACGATAAAATAATCCAGAAAAGAGACGAAGAAAGAGTGAAGTGATAGTATAAAAATTGTTCAGGAAGAGTTCATTATCATAGCCGAATAATGAGTAGTATGACCGTTCGAGTTCAAGTCCTAGATTCATCTAGGCATTGAGTTGAGTATCGTTTGTCTTTTTTAGTTTTTTTTTTTTGAAGGGAGATGGTTTTGTATTTGTTTTTTTGTTGCGTAAAGTGTTTTTTACCTTTTTGGCATCCAGTTTTTGAGTCAGCCACAAATCCTGATGGACAGAATTTGCAAATGGGTTTATGATCTTCCACAAAGCAAGGTGAGTTAGCAGCGCATGAGGCGAAATCACATGGATTAACACATTGATAGTTTCGACATGCCAAACCGGCCGGACAACCGCTGTCTCTTAAGCATATTGATACCGATGGATTACAGTCTTTCATGCATATGCAAACGGGCTTATGATCTTGCACCTGACATGTTTTATCGGCTGGACATGGTGCGCCACGTGAATTAGTTACAGCGCATGGGCTTTGACATTTTAAATCAATGCATGCCATATTCGATGCACATTCATCATCTCGGGAACATTCGCGTTTGTCTGGTGCACAAATCAATTCACCATATTCATTAACAACAAAGCCAGATTTACATACGCACACTGGTCGATGTCGTCGTGTTTCGCATTTTTTATTTGCATCGCATGCAAATTGTGAACTTTCACATGGATCAGCACATTGACCAAATCGATTGCATGACAATGATTCATGACAATCAGTGTCTGAATTGCACATCGTTCGTACAATGTCATTTGGTCGTGGTGATGCGTTTTGACATTGTGGATCCGGTTTGCATTCGACATTTGCTCGGCCAATGTAACAGCTCGGACACGAGCATCGCGGACGATGTAAGACCGTTTTACACAGCGCATTTATACCGCATGCTTCTCGTAACGCACATGGATCCGCGCACACATTATTCAAACATGCCTTTTCATTTGGACAATCTAAATCACTGGTACATTCATTGTCTAAAAGTCCAGAAGCGTTGATTTTTTGTATTTTAATTTTATGGTTTTTATATGCCAAGGGGGAAATATTTTAGAAAACAAAATATATAATTGGGTGGTAAAAGCGATCAAACATATGACAAAAGGCAGAAAAATTTGAAATTTGAATGAATGATTGGCCGAAATAATAAAAAAAATAATAATAAGGAAACATGAACAAAAATAAACAAACAAAAAAATTTGATGACAAATGAAGTGAAACTTATAACATGCTCTTGGGGGAGGAAAACACCTTAACATCCTAAGCTTGATCGTTTTTAGTTTTTTTTTTCTCTTTTTTTTTATCTTTTATCACGACATCCTCAAATGCTTGTACATGCCTGTCTGAATTGAACACTATTTTACAAAAGTAATTTTTCGAAATTTTTTATTTGAGAACTGCGAAGGGGATTCATTTCTCACAAATTCGTTTACGAACACATCCAACACAAACGCTCTGCCCGGGAATCTACAAATGAAAAGTTCGCCGAAACTCAAGTCGAGATAGTTCAAAATAGAATGAAGTAGAAACAAAAAATTATGAGACGAAAACATAGAGTAAAATGGAAATAGATTTTGAGAGAAAAAATAAGAAGAAAAGACTTAAATTCTAGGCGAGAAAATTGGTTTCTTTTTCACCCATCCTACAAAAGAGTTTTTTTTTATAGTCAGCAATATAAAAGTCGCTGCTGTTTTTCAGCTACGCAATAGTTTTTTTTATTCTTCTAAGGAATATCAATCGATATCCGATGCAAATAACATGTTAGACTTGGGAGAAAATAGGGAGTAGGTGATAAAAAAAACGTATTTACAAACTTACAAGTTAACAAAAAAATAGTACTATTTTTTAAAGAAAATAAAAAGAGAACTTCTGAATCTATAGAACGAAAGTCATTAAATTGGCAAGCAGTTATTACGTTCAAATAGTTATCTCCAATAGATAGATGCTTTTGAATAGAAATTACATACAAAAGGAAACTAAAACAGAGCAGATAAAAATGCGTTAGGTAAAAAAAATATCGAAAAATGCAAACACACTTATATAATACGACAAAATTTTCAAAATAAAAACCAAATGCTTAGAAAAATGCCACGAAGTTGAATCAACTTAAAACAAAATAGGAGCAAATAACTTAGGCAAACAAACAAATCCCCGAGCCATAAATGTGCAAGCGACTGTGAGAATTATCCCATCCACAGTGCCCAATTCTAACGATTTTATTCGAACTTATTTTTATTTTGAAAATAAAAAAGACCGATTTTATTAATTATTTTCACACTTGACAAACACAAATCAGTTATGTACAAATTTTTGAGTTGATGTTTTGAATTGACTAAAAAAACGACAAAAATTATAAATAGTAGAGAGTTAAAACCAGGCAACGAGAAAGGAAATTAATATATAGACCAAAGGAATCTGCTTAGCGCCTAAACGGTTCGAATAAAACGAACGCATTTCTTCCATTCTTTCTCCTTTCGCAAAGCGAATAGACACACATACTTTTTTCTTCATTTTGTATTGGCAAAGAGAGAAAGAGAAAAATAGAAATGAGAGAAATGAAGTATAAAAATTATGGTGTATGTAACAAAATAAACAGTTTTTGTCATTTTATCGTGTATTTTACAAGCAAATGATGAATGGTGTAAATAAAAAAGTCAGATTTTGAAGTTCGATCTGAATTTGCGGCGTGAAATATAAATGCTTGTCATTTGCTTTTTGTGGGTGTGTGTGTGTATGTAAAATGTAGTATATATGTGTAGGAACCAATTTTTTTTCTTTGTGATATGATACAAAATGTAGCAGACGTGTTTCTTCTCTCTTTCTTTTCAGCGCATCCAAAATTAGATGCCGATTTTTTTCTTTGCAAAACGTGTTAAAAACACACAAAAACGTACAATAACATTTATTTACACTAATTTTTTAAAATGACTTAAAATATTTTACAAAATAAAAAAAAACAAACAAATTAAAAAAAAATCTTTAAAAGTTTCTTCTTTGAAATACAACTGACTTGCTTTCGTGCTGTACAGGAGACAAATATATAATTACACAAACGTATTCTTTGCTCTTTGGAACTAAGACATTTCTTTTTACAGCGACAAACACAAAATTAGACTTAACACACTTGTTTTTCTTGCGAAAACTACCAAATACTAGTTTTAACTAGTCTTTGCAAATTCGTTTCAAACGAACAAAACAACAATCGACAATTATTCGATTATCAATTAGCAAATTGGTTAAACTAACTAAAAACAACTAAAAATTAATTGTTTGATATTAACGAAAAAAAAAAACAATAAAATATGTTGGAATGTTTTGTTTGGTCGAATAAATGGGGGGTAAACAAAATGCAAATGGCTTTCGGCCGCTTATAAATCCCAACAGCTTCGTGTCAGTCGTTTAAAATTACTAAGTTAGACAAATTTTTGTTTTATTTATTAAATAAAAAAATCTTGGGAATTCATTGAACATGAACATTAATTTGTCTACGACTATGGATGTATATGTATGTGTGTATATATGTTTGTGTGTGAAAAAAACACGCATTAGTTTTTAACGACGTAAAATAATAAGTTATTGAACTGTTTGTGAGCTTAATTTTTTTTTGTTGGAATTAGCATTGTTGTTTTTCTCGGTCGCAAAAGGGGTGGGGAAAGGGGGGAAAGGAATTCATTTAGTAGTTCATTTGGATCGCATATAGTTGACTATCGACGAATAGTCATTGTGCGACATGAACAGTTTGAAGTAAGAGAATTGTTAGAACATTGAAGAGACATACCTTGTCTGCATACGTATCGAGATCCTTCGAGTATACATTCGCCGTTTGGACAACCATGTTGACGACAATCGCCAAGTTCTCTGTGTAAAGGTGTACCTGAAAATTTTCATTTTTATATGTTAAGTTTGGTTCAATTTCACATGATCCAAAAAAGTGTCCTTACATTCATAGTATGGGTCTCCATTTGGATAAAGTGGTGGGCAAACACATTCGGGTTGATTTTGATTAACAATTCTGCAAACTGCATTTCGTCCGCATCTTTGATCGGCGCAAACGGCTGTAGATTCTTCGCCGCACAAGCAACCTTTATGTGGATCTCCAACACAGCCCGGTGCACATGTGCATTCATATCCACCGGTTACATCGCGACATCTTGTATTTGGTCCGCAAGGATTTCGTGCACAGGCACTGGTCTCCAGTGAACATTCAATGGCTGGATTGCCAAAGTGCCCAGGTGGGCACGAGCATTGTTTTTGCCGATTAATAACTCTGCATTGTGCATTAATGCCACAAGCTCCGGCTTGTAGACATGGATTTCTACATTCGCCACTTTCGCATCGTTTCTCAATTTCACAATCACTATCGATAGAACATTCAGAACGCGTGCAACCTTGTGTTGGTTCACCTCTGAAACCGTCTGGACACAAGCAAATCACACGATGTTCGGACACTCGACAAACTGCATTTTCACCGCAAGTACTATCCAATGAGCATGGGTCCAAACATTGTCCATTTATACACGATCGATCGCCCGAACAATCCAAATTATTTCGGCAACCAGTAATGCACGCACCGTCACTGCACAATTGACCTTCTAAGCAATTTCCCGGATTGCATCGGCTTCGACATTTTCCGGCCGCACAAATTTGACCGCACGAACATTGGGAGTCAATTGTACAACTTTCAGCGCAATATTGTGCCGATTCGTCACATTCACAGAATGAATTGCATCGTTGTAATGGCAAATTGCATCCGGTAAATGGATTACCAAGAAAACCATTTGGACAACTGCATTGAACCACATGATTGATGACTAAGCATTCGGCGCATTGTCCGCATTGTGTTGTTGTTGAACATGGATCTTGACACTTGTTATTGACGCAAGCTTCTGATCCGGCACAGCTCAAATCATTGCGGCAACCAATTTGACACAGTCGATTCTCGCAAATCTGTCCGTTTCCACATGAAGCATCGTTGTTACAAATTGAACGGCACGTTCCACGCACGCATCGCTCATCGGCCAAACAGTTTTGATCGTTATTACAATTTGGCTGGCAAATATTTCCGAGGCATGAATGATTTGGTGGACATTCGTTGTGAGTTGCACACGATGTTGGTGCATATTTACAACCAATTGTTGGATCTCCTACCAAAAAGTCGGGACATATGCAGGCCTTTGCATGATTTTGAACAATACAATTTGCATTTATACCGCAAGCGTTTGGATCTAAGCATGGATCAATGCATTTTTGACCAATACATGCCAAATTTCCTGGACAATGGACGTCCGATCGACAACCGGCTGAACAAATAAAGTCTTGACATACTTCGCCATAGCGACAATCATCATCGCGCCGACATAATGGTTTACATACTCCACCTTCACAACGTTCATTACTGTAACATTCACGATCGGTTCCACAACGAGCTTTACATTCACCGTGGATACATTGTAAGCCGTCTTGACAATTTCGGTTGGTACTACATGGCGAAGCCGGTGATCGAATGCATCCAATTTTGGCTGTTGGACTTGGCACCAAACCATTCAAACAGGCACATTGGGCACGATGATTGAAGACGGAACAGACGGCATTCGGACCACATGGTGATAGATTACATGGGTTTGTACATGTGTTGTTCGAACAGCTTTCAGTTGATGTACAATCTTCGTCAGAGCGACAAGCGTAAATACAACGATTATTCAAACAAATGTGTCCCAAGAAGCAATCATTATCCACACGACAAGTGACTGGAAGAAGGGGGAAATTTTGAAATTAAAATTTGACTTTTTCATATTTCCTTTTTAATTGATCGCTAAAGGCGGTCGTTTCGTTCGATAAATGAGAATATTTGAGAAAAAATTCAAAAAAGGTATCGGTCTACTTACGCATGCAGTTGCCTCCAATACATTTCTCATTCAAAGCGCACACTTGATCGGCCTCGCAACGTGGCAAACACATTGAATCTCGGCAAGTATTTCCATCAATACAGTCTAAGTTTGATGCACAGGAAACTGGAACTGAACGCAAAATATTATTTATTAGTTATTTATCGAATGAATTAATCTCGATCAGTAAAATTTTGCTTATATTTGAAAGAATTTTAAGGAGATATCTTCAATTTTAACAAAAAAAGAGTTCAAGACTTACTTCTCACGCACTCAACGGCACTATTTCCAGTGAATCCAGCTGGACACGCGCATGTTTTAAAGTGATTGTTTGATAAACATTCGGCATTCATTCCGCACGCTTTTGGCAAAGTACATGGATTGATGCATTGACTTTCCAAACAAATTTCATCCAAACCACATTCTTGATCCAAATTACAGGCCGGTTTGCAAATGCCTCCATTACAATATCCATTGGCTGGACAATCGGTTGATGCACTGCATGGAACTGGCAATGGTCTGCAGCCAACGATGGGATCGGCTGCTTCGCCACCGTAACCAGGTAAGCATTTGCAAAAAGCGACATGATCGACAGGTAAACATTCCGAGTTCGGGCCGCAGCTAACATTTTCACAAACATCTCTGCATTTTGATTCGCTATTCGATTGAATACACTCGGCACTTGCTGGGCAGTCGGCATTGCTTGTACATTCGAAAGCTAAGCGACAACCTTCGTTGTATGGATCACCAACGTATCCATTACCGCAAGCACAATGGAATGTTCCCTTATTATTCGAGCACAATGCACCCGGTCCGCATGGTTGATCGCGACAATAATCCACCGCATTACATTGTTCATATGGATTGCCACTATAGCCCGGTTGACAATAGCATACAGGTCGATTGTTCTCTACTGTGCAAATTGCCTTCTCTCCGCATGTCTTACCGCTTTGACAAGCCAATTTACAGATATTCTTCTCGCAGAATTTATCCGACGTGCAATCATTATCTCGTTGACATTCAATTCGTCGGCATCCACCTTGTCCATCATCGATGAAACCTTGTTTACATGAGCACAATCCATCATGATTTCGTGCTGTACATTCAGCATTTCGGCCACAAAGTACACGACCTTCGCAAGCATTTTTACATTCAGAACGTCCATATGCATCGACAAAGCAGTATTCGTTGTGCAAACATTCATCGTCAGTGCGGCATCGAATTTCCTGTGTACAAATGTTGTTTTGACAGAATTGGAAGTCGGCACAAGTTGAATTATCGTGACACGTTGATTGACAAATTCCTTGCAAGCAAAGTTGATCGGCGATACATTCACGATTCGATGTACAGGCGGCTGAACATACACCCGTTTTACATATCGTTCTCGACGGACATTGATTGTCAGCGGAACAATACTGCAATGGTACACAACCCAATAGCGGATTACCAGTTGTACCTGGTTGACATGAACAGATGCCAACATGATTTTCAACGATACAATTCGAATTTTGGCCACATGCATTTGGTGTCGAACATGGGTTGACGCATTTTGAATCTAAACATGATTTTGAATGGGGACAATCGGTATTTTCACTGCATTCGATTAATCGACACTCAACACTTGGATCGCCTCGTGAATTCGATGGACACTTGCAGAATGCATGATGAGCATTTACCGTACATTGAGCATTCAAACCGCAAGCATTTGCTGAATCGCATGGATTTTTACAACGTGAATTGATACAAGCGGCAGTGTCGGGACAATCCGTATTTGTGAGACATTCTTCTGGATTTCGGCAACCAGTGTTTATTGGATCGCCTACCAAACCATCTTCACAAGCACAAACATAACTTCCTGGATAGTTTTTACATACGGCTGAACTGTGGCATGGCCGTTCTGCGCATTCATCGATATCTTCACATTTTCCATTGAGCAAGACATAACCAGGAGGACACGAACAAGTTGCTTCGTGACGTTCAACAACACACGTTCCACGTCCACAGTCAATATTATCGCATGGATCTGTGAGGAGGAAAACAAAATTATAGAAGTTAAAATGGAACCTATGCACGAAATATATTGAGGAATTCTTATCATTCCAAATTTTTAAGTTTAAATCATTTGTTTTCATTTCATGATAAACAACAAATAACTATGCAGATTATAGACTTGCATTACGACTTTCAATCTGAATTTTACGTTTTAATAAATGCAAACAAAAATTGACTTATTGATAAAGTGAGTTCAACTGTAGTAATAAACAATCAATTATTCTAAATTTAAAATACTCATTGCAGCCACCACTAATCGAAATGATTTTTTTTGCTTGAGTTAGCTTGCACATGTGTATTTTTTTCTTAAAAAAATAATTTTTTAGTAAAGTCATTATCTTTCTTGTTTATAATGTGTCTGACTCTATAAAAAAATTATAGTCCCAGATCAAATGATGCTTTCTATTTAAATGCAAATATTGCAATTTTTGAAGGCAAATGTTAAAATCCATCAAAAACTGATAAGAGAATAATATATAAACACAATGTTCGACTTTAAATAGATTAGTCTATTTGCGATCGCTACTGTAATTTTTAATTGTGGAAAAAATGAAGTTGGCAATAGTTGTGTCGATATTATTGTGCATTCATTGTACAAACGCATTTTCAACTTATAACACTTGGAAAAATCGAATAGCAAAATACAATGGTATACATTATTTTCAAATTTAAATTTGAATTGAAGTTCAATGAATTTTTTTTTTCGCAGAACTGCTTGACTGTGAATATTACACAACTTCTGAGGATGTTTATAGAGATTCGATTGAAATTGAGACTGGAACATTCTATTCATTGTCTACAGATGCGATTAAGTTTCGTTTAAGTGCAACTGACGATAATACGGATAATGGGCTTTATTTCGGTAATAAAACTCATACAATTTCATTTCATATTTTTGTTTGTTTTTAAACGTATTAAATTAACATTTAATATTCAAATTTAGTAATTGGAGAACGCTTTAATGGATATGATCAAAGGTTTGGAACGACCATCTATGGGCTAGGAAAGACCTACGTTAAATTTGGAGGAAATGTATTGAAAACATTAACAACACCGGAAATCATTCGAAATGATCAACCAAATAAAATATCTTTCAAAGTTTTAGAAGGTATGCCTTGAATATATATCTGAATCTTTAATTTGATTTAGAGTTTTAAAAGTGTCAAATACAAAAGAA